ATGTTTTAGGATAGTAATAACATTATATAAGATAATCATATTGCAAAGATAATATATATAAGATAATAACATTAAAGATAAAATTAAATTGCAATACTTGAAACTTGATGATTTTACCTTTCTGTACATTTTGTATACAAATTCATTAAATAATTTTGTTTGTAAATGTCTATTTGCATCATGTTTATTACGGAAAACACATTATTTGATCAGTTTACATTGTGCCCCTAAAGTTCTTTGTGTGCTCTTTACTTTTTCAACTTAGGAGCACATGTGCTCCTTGGGAAAAAAGTTAGCGTCAAGCCCTGAACTTACATTGTTGACCTGAGACATTTCCCCCTGATGCCACAGGATGCCATTATAGTATAACGGAGACTGGCTGCGTATCATGTCGACATGAAAGGACAGCTTTTTTTATCGGTGTCTGATGCTGAGAGTCACTGACCAAGCACTGGACGACTTTGGAGTGAGACCGGGTTGACTTTTAGTGACCAGAAAAATATAACTGCATTTAAATGCATTGCAATGACTAGCATAAATAGAAACTTAAACCCTGGTGAGAACCCGGGTTAAACTTTTGGACAATATTTGTCCACATCCTGTGTGGAAATGGGGGAACATAATGTTAGAGACCAGTCAATACAATGCAGTTCTACACAACTACATCAAAAACAACTAAAGCTGATTGTTTCTTAAATGTTACACTTAAAACGCAATTTGATTCAGAGTGATATGATTAAAAACAATCTGGATGCACCTCAACTATTGGTTTAAATATGGCTATAAAGACAGGTGAATTCACTGCCTAAATGACCACGAACTCTTAACACCGCATTCCATGGTGGCAGCACATAATGGGTTGAAATTACGTGCTGGTACCATGGAAACAATGCCAATGTAAAGTCAATTAGGATCCATTGTCGTGGTGTCCACACGGATTCCCTGATTCAACAACGTCCTCTATCCACACAAAAACACTAAAGTGTTCTTGATATTAAAATGGCAAATATATTCCTCTGTTATAATTTCCCACCAATAATAATGATAATAATACATGATAGTTTGGCTGTACTAGATATTTGATATAGGCCTATTCAAATATTCAGTCCCAAAAATGCCATTTCTACAGTAGTACATAGTAGCTGAATTATCTGAAATTAACCATCATCCTTACTTTTTCTTAACATAGTTCATCTAGGTGCAGTGTCATTACTAGTTCGGCTTTACTAGACATTTGATATAATCAGTAGATGTATCTTTTTACGACTCTATTTTACAACAAGCTGCAAAAAACCTACCGTCCCAAAAACGCTGTTTGTAGAGTACTATCTAAAATATCTGAAATTAGCCAACATCCTTGCTTTTTTTCTTAACATAGTTCATCTATGTGCAGTGTCATTTCTAGTTCGGCTTTACTAGATATTAGATATATTCAGTAGATCTATCTTTTTATGACCCTATTTTACAACTCTATTTTACAAGCCACAAACAAACCTACCATCCCAAAAATGCCGTTTCTAGCGTGTTAGCTAAAATATTGAAAATTAGCCAACATCTGTACTTTTTCTTAACATAGTTCATCTAGGTGCAGTGTAATAACTAGTTCGGCTTTACTGGATATTAGATATATTAGGTAGATATATCTTTTTACAGCCCCATTTAGAACCCTACTTTGCAAATCAGAAGAACTACAACTATGTTGCTGAAATGTATCAAACTGCATGGTGCGGTCCCAGGGAATTGTAGTTTTTAAAAAATATGTGTTTTTCCTAGATTTGGAAGTTGTAAATACTGAATTGAGAGTACACTGTGGACTTTAAGAGGATGGTAAACACACTTGTGTAATCAGATTTTAAATATCTAATTTCTAAATGGGTGAAAAATTTATTTTATCCATATTTTACCCATATCTGACAGCACCCCCAGTTGTTGACTACACTCACATGATTGGTGAGGTCAAGAGCTCTCTATAACAGTTGGTCCCATGTCTGTACCCCCTTTTGTTGCTGAGTTATAAGCCCTCAAACATGCACTAAGGTCAAGGTTCAAAGGCGAATGGCTGAAAGCAGGAGCCATGTAGAATCTTCATACTGACATATGTTACTCTACAGGTTGAGACCTTTCCAATGATGTATTTGGTTTAGCTCTATGACAAAGTTTTGATTTTTTCATTTTATGAAAAATCAGCGGCCGCCGGTTCTGTGGAGCTGGCTTGGGGTCCGCTCTCCCCTGGTGGAGTGGAGGGTTGCCGGGTTGCCGCGGCGGCCGCCTCCCGATGCAGGCACTCCATGTGATGGTGTTTCCTCCCTGGTTCTTCCGTGCTCAGCCTTATTTTTTTCTTCTTATTTATTTATTTATTAGTGGCGTTTCGATTCGGTTACGGCAGACAGACGGCAATCTGAAATGGAATGAAGCCCACACACGGCAGACAGTAGCTACAAAACAGTAGTGGAACACGCCCCATCGGCCCACAGCACAATGCTCTTAAAGCCCTACGCTATCAAAAGCTGGCAAAATACATTTATTTTATTTTATGACCTTGACATTAACCTGCCATATTGTTGAGTTATAAAAGACACTTCGTGTTTTTGTGTGTATACAGAAATGTTAAAGATATTATTGAGGAAAACGAGGTTGACGTGACGTTATTGAATCAGGGAATCCGTGTGTCCATCACGAAAAAGGATCCTAATTGACTTTACATTGGCATTGTTTCAACCAATTACTGCTGCCACCACGGAATGCGGTGTTAAGAGGTTGTGGTCATTTCATGTATTTCTGTGAGATCAGGTTGTCTCTTTGTCTTCCTGGTGGTGCCATGAGTGAGTCACCTGCTCCAGGGACACAGAGATTCAAGGTTTGTAGCCCCAAGTTGGTAGGTATTACAATTTCTGAAGATCTTGGGGGTGGCTGTGGCCCAGGAGGTAGAGTGAGTCGTCCACTTATCAGAAGGTTGGCAGTTCAATCCCCAGCTCAAATTGCTCCCAGTATGTGAGTGCATTGATTGGTTAAAACTGAGTAGCAGGTGCACCAGTGTATGAATGTGTGTGTAAATTGGTGAAAGTGACAGGTACTGTGAAAGTCCTTTGAGTGGTCGAATGTCTAGAAAGGCAAGGAGAGTCCCTTAAGCTTTTATCTAATTCAGTTAAATGAACCATTCAGGGAGGTTTTCCTGACCAGGATCCAGATAGTTCGAGACAAGCCTTGTCCTTCTCTGAGCCAATCTTAAACCAATCTTACAGTCAAAACTTTGCTCGGAGAGATGATTAGTTGTATAACAGTATGTAAAGGTGTTTATGTAAAAAATAACTGTATACATATCACCAGACATTGTGAGATGTTTAATCTGCTTCAGTTTGTGCATTAACTTGTTTTCTACTGCCTCTCCATTCCCCATATATATCGCCATATGTTTAGCTGTTGAGAAAACTAGCACTCAAACTTTATTTTATCATTTACACATCTTCATAACCAAACAGAAAGTGCCTCCTTCTTTGTCTGGTCTCCCTTTTAGCAACATTCCTTATCACATAGGTCCCTCTACTGGTCACCTCTGGTAATACACTTAAATAACTGCATAGCAACACATCCCCCTTTCTTTGACGTTATGAACAATGAACAAAAGAAAACACTTGCCTTAGCACACATGGATAATATTAGTGTTGTAAATCAAAACTATCATCATCAAAATTACAACATTTTCTTTTTATATCATCATTTTTTTTTATCTTCTCCAGCTTGTCTTTGTTGAACATTTCAACATGTTTTCAATTAACACCAAGCTCTTTTAGACGAATAAACACATTTCAAAACCACAAATCATATTTGTACCTTTTTAAAAAAAAACAAAAAAACAAAAAAAAAATAACAAAAAATAACATTAGAACCTAAGAATCCAGTATACTGCTTTAAAGATCAAGTCTAACTGGTCTTTTGATCTGACGTTCAGATCTCCTCAATACAGGCGACTCTGTGGAAACATCACTTGTCTCAGGTACCGTGTCTACGTGTGACATAGCATCCTTTCCATCTGTATCACCACACAGTGTCTCTTGAAAAGTCTCTTTGGTTCTGAGAAGGTGTTGACGGTTCCTTCTGAGCACGTCCTTCCTCAGTTCTCACTTCATAGGACCTTGGTCCTACTTCCTAAAGAACAGTAGCTTTCCTGTTCCAAGCATCCTTGTCTTGGATTCTCACCACATCATTCTTTGCAAGTGGTCTGAGAGCTTTAGTCGACTAGTCGTAATGCTGTTTTTGTTTCCATTTCAGATTCTCCACTTTTGTCTGTATCGCCAGTCTCTGTTTAACCTCTGTGTAGCAGGGCAGGGTTGTGCATAACTTGCAACTCATCAAAAGTTCTGCTGGGGACAGACCACAGTCAAGGGGGCAGACCTGTAGCTCAGCAGAGCTAGATAAGGATCTGACTTACTGTCTGTGGCCTTCTTCAGAAGCTGCTTGATGATATGCACTCCCTTTTCAGCCTTGCCATTTGCCTGTGCATACTGGGGACTGGATGTGACATGGTGGAACCATATTGTTTTGCAAACTGCTGCCATTCTCTACAGTTATAACATGGACCATTTTCATTAACTACAGTCTCTGGTATTCCATGCCTAGCAAAGATGGACTTGACATGAGTGGTTACACTGTTGGCAGTTGCATTTGTGAGCAGAGCAATTTCTGGGAAGTTTGAATAATAATCAATTACAAACAAATAATCTTTCCCTTTTGCAATGAAACAAATCTTTTCCCACTTTCTTCCAAGGTGCAGTAGGAAGATCAGAAACCCTAATGTTGCGTTGTTATCCTAACTTAACGAGCCTCCTTGGATCACATTTGGCTCTGACCTCTCGAGGCGTGGACACAGGACCTCTAGGGGTGTCCTTGTCACAATTACATATACATGTCATTTGACCTGTTACTTTAGAAATGTTAATATGATATGTATGAAACAGACAAATGTAACTTATGAGAAAAACTGTGGTCAATGTTCCACCAACCTTCCAGATCATCGATAGTCTTTTCCAACTTGGCTACAGATCTCTCAGCAAACTCAGCTCGGGTCTCAGCCTGCGATGACAAAGAGCAAGTCTGATCAGTTGCATCTGAGGTAAACAAACTATAATACACGGAATAGGCAATGGTATGTCAACCTTTAGCATCTTACTGAAATCCTTTACAGTATAGTACAGGTTGTAAAGAAAAAAACTATATCTTAAGGTCGCCATTCGTTATTGCTCACCTCTTTCAGCTTGTCAGTGAGGATCTTGATCTCTTCCTCATACTTGTCCTCCTTTTGAGAGTACTGTGTTGAGAAACAACATAATTCAGATGCAAATCCATGTGAAAGCAATTTGGCATGTGCCTCATATCAACTTTTTGAAGAAAGAATAAATTAATCCTCTTCTCCATTTATTTACTTCCGCTAGGATAAATTATTCAAAAACATAATGTATCTTTTCACTGTTATACGGATGACACAGAGATGTACCTCCCCTAGAGCCAAACAACATCAACAAACTAAGTGACCTCAATAACTGTCTTCATGACATCAAATCCTGGGTGGCTGCAATTTTTTAGGGACCTCGGCTGAAGGCAGAAAAATTTGATAAAAGGAAAAAAATTGACTCCAAAAGTGCCAAAATGGGCACTCTAGCGCCACCTAGACACACTAAAATGGCCGCTGTGGCCCGTAGGAATGTCATAGAAAGATCAAACCAAAACTGGCTTGTTCGTCTCATTGAGACCTACAAAACACACACTGACACCCCTGCCCTAAATCCAGCAGGAAGTGAGCTAGTGCCTCTGAAAGTAACATGAGCAAATGTGGAGAAATTGTCAGCTGTGAGCTAGAGCGGAGAGGGGTCTAAAATCGTCTACAACTTTTGTCTTTAACTGTCTATGTGAGCTGGAGACCGAAACGGCGTGAGTCCGAGGTCCCGCCCAACACTGCTTGCAGCTTTAATTTTTTATTTTATTTGGAGAACAGCACTTGACCAGCATTATTTCTCTTCATCTTGGCCTATTGCGCCCCCCCCCCCTGTTAAATTACATGTTAAAATTTTGGTCATATTTGATTTGGAATTTAAATTTGACAAACAAATCAATCAAGTTGTAAAATTAAGTTTCATGCAGCTGTGCACCATCTTCAAACTCAGATCAATTTTTTGTACTTCTGACCTGGAGAAAGTCATCCACTCCTCCATATCCTCCCACCTTAATTATTGCAACTCATTAGTATTATGGTATTACTAAGTCTTGTTTATCCTTCAACAAGTCCAAAATGCAGCAGCAAGAGTTTTAACAATGTAAAAAAAAGGAAGCACATTACCTCCATTCTTGCCTCCCTATACCGGCTGCCTATTAGCTACAGAGTAGACTATATTTTAAGATTCTAATGTTTGTCTACAATGTGTTAAATAGCCTTGCCCCCTCTTACGTCACAGAGGTCCTCTCCCCATATCACAATGTGGCCTCTAGTTTCCCGGTTTGCCGCAGGGTGGCGAACCCTGCGCAGAGCTAGTTTCGAGCAGCGCAACCCGTGGCACGCTCAGTTTAGTAGTTTGGCAGACCGAGGTGCGCTGAGATGGGTGTGGCGGCGCAGCAGGGGGAGGTGTCGACAGATCCAGCTTGGTGCAGTGACATTTTCGTGCCAAAAGGCTTCACCGAAGGTGTGCTAAAAGCTCACCAGCTGAAACCAGGTCTACTGTCAGCGCAGGCGGAGCGCAGCCGGTGTAGTGGCAGTTTGGCTGACCGGCGGACAGTGGGCACTCGTCACCAAAACCTCACAGGCAGGTCTCCAGAATGTCAGGCACATTAACGATGCAATAAATACCCACAGAAACCACTATTCAATGCAACTATCTGCAATTAGCACATAAATGTATCTCTATATTGACGGTCCCGTCACATCTGATGTCAGATCAAAGGGGATTGGCACCGTTTGGCACGCATAATGGAAACCCAACCTGATTTGATTAACACAGCAGCAAACTAATGAGTTCACATCCCTCTCAGCCAACCACAAACAGCCACAGCATCAGATAGGGAGTATATATTCAGCATCTGTCATCTTAGAAAAGTCAAAAGAAAATAAACAGAGTGAGACTGCGAGAGAGAAAGAGAGAGCGCGCGCACACGAGAGAAACGCAACATTGATTTACAATTGTGGTGACCTCCTCCCAGGCTACCTTTGCATCATCAGCCCGTGGAGGTCTGCTCGCAGTTCCGTATATTCGGACACTGCGAGCTTGGACCTCCTGGACCAAGATATCAGTTTCCTCCTGGGAGAAGATTGGCCATCTGACGCTGCTGCTCTCTTCTGCCATGGTGAATTGAGTTAACTCTCATTACGCCTTCGCGTGGCGCATTTAAGGGCTAGGAGATGGGCTCATTTGATTGGTGTGATGTGAATCGGCTGTGTAAAACCCACTCCACGCCTTCTCTCCTCCCTCTTTCCGACTTGCACAGGTAGGAGGGACAGAGGTGGGAAAGAGGAATAGCTGCGTCAGCGCACACGGTGTGCCAAACTTGCAAAATCCGCCTGGCCACACCCAGTTGGCGAAGCGCAGCTGCGCTGTGCCTCCGCCTCGCCTGGTCTGCGAAACTAGAGGCCTGTGAGAGAACTGAGATCATCTGACCAAAGACTTCTGTCTGTCGCAACATCCAGGACTAAGTATTATGGCGACAGAGCTTTCACTATTGCTGCCCCACGATTTTGGAATTCTTTCAATTCTCCCCCACCACTGACATTTTCAAGAGTCATCTTAAAACACACTTTTACTCACTGGCCTTTAATTGCACACAACGTGATTGTCATTGTTGCTGTTACTGTCACAATATGGTGACAGTATAAAAACAGCAAGGATACAGTTTTTGCTACAGGTGCAATAATAACGGTAATGATATGTTATCATTACTGTGTGTGTGCTGTAAGAGCACTTTGGATGAACTCAGTTTGTATTTAAAGTGCTATATAAATAAAGTTGACTTGACTTGACTTACAGTATGCAGGCTAAGTAGTAAATAATGTGAAATTTCATCACAAAGAAGATAATTGCTGTGTGATCATCTTTGTTTTTCCTTTCAACAACTCTTTTTCTTTCTTATTGCTGTGTTGACACCACTCCTCTCTTTCTATCTCTTCAACCCGTTCTCACTCCCATCCAGTCAAATACTGATGCTTGGTCAGTTGCCTTTTGGTGTCAGATAATGATGCACTGAGACACCCTTTAGCTTCTGTAAGAAGTGTAAATAAAAGTGGAAGGGACAATTGGTGGATGTGTCAAACAAATCAGGAGACTGCTGGTCCTGTCCAATGTGAAACCTTAAATCAACGTTGAGTTATTTTAAGAGCTTAGCGTAGTATGTCACGTATGTCATGTGACATATAGCAGTTTACAGCACAAAGTCAAGAACATACTTATTTTAACGTAACCATGACCATGTACTTATGTTGCCTAATCCTGAGGAAGTAAAGCTAAAGATGAAGTAAATCTATATTGGACATTTATTGTAAAATGAGACGGTATGCCTTTAACCAGCAGAAACGAGATTTCCTGTGGTAAAGAAGTTTATTTTGAAAAGACTCCTCCAGTTCAGCATTTTGGCTGTTACCATCTTATTTTTCTGGAGCCAGAAGTGACCATATTTGGACATGAAGGTCGAGCTGTGGAGAGGCAAGGGGTGGATCTGACTCATAGAGTGTAGCAACACCTCACAGACAGCCTGTCGCTTTAAGCCCTAATAAAATGTAAATGGTAGAGGTATATAAATATTCAACCCCTGTGCATTTGTCATGAAGGAGGACATTAGCTGTAGAGACCAAAACCTTTTTTTAATGCCAGGCTGTAAACATGTTTATTTTTCCTGTAAAGTTGGGCATTTTAACATAGAGGTCTATGGGGACTGACTGGCTTATAGAGCCAGCCTCAAATGGTCATTCAAAGAACTGCAATTTTTGGCACTTTGGTGTTTGCTTCATCTTACAGCCTTGGAGGGGTCTGTTGCGTGATTGAAACATCAACCAAGCATAATTAGCAACATTAAAATGTTAACGTGCACATAACAGACACAGATAATGTTAGTGTTATATCTAACACCTTGCTAAGTTATTGTCAACACATTGTCCAGCCATTGTATTCATCAAACAGAGTATGATGAAAAACAACACACTTGCAAGTGGCATTGTAGAAACCAACGTCCAGAATGGGAAGACCCTGAGCCTTGTTGCCGGTGTGTTATGTATGTACTATTGTCGGCTACTGACGATGTAACAAGTGGCATCCCATTTCCCAGGTTGAAGCAACTCTTACCTTTTTTGCATTTCACACCGCACTTAGAAAAAATTTGGACATCCACAACTCCCACCTCCCTCCAAAGTCCCATCCCTCTCCTCCTGCAACTCCACCTCCCTCCAACGGCCTATTCCCCCCTCCTCCATTATGTCCCCATTACGTCTATGGAAGACGTAGGCGTTGGCAAGGTACCGTTAGATACACGAAAGAGGACAGTGAGTGTAACATTACAAATGCAACCCCGGAGTTTTAAAACTCAGTCAGTGATGACTAATGAGTTTTAGAATAAGGTTACAGTTAACGTTAGATAGTAGCGTTAATGTTAATAGTAAGTTGAAATGCACAAGGAAGATAACGTTAATGTTTCAGAGGCTATGCTACAGTAGGCTAATGTTAGCCATTAGCAACTGGCATGCGACATTTAGCATACCCCAAGCAAAAAGAAACAAAACATTTAAAAACAATTCTTGCAACATATAAGAAAGAACATATAGTGCAATAGTAGGATGAAAAGGGTCGACATTTCACAGTCAAAAACTCCACATCCTGAGAGCAGAACTGTGAGATCCTCTTCACATCACAGCACCATAAACTGTTTGTGTATATTGCCTGAGCTTACCAGATGATGCAGCCTCCCCGTCTGCTCTATGTAGTGTTAGCCCTGTTAGCTCAACACCGGAGTCTAATATGTTACCATTCATCCATGTCTCAGTGAACACAAGGACGCAGCAGTCCCTCACTCCTTGGTGATTGGATCTCCACAGTCGGATGTAATCCATTTTCGTGTCCAGCGAGTGGACGTTCACCAGAAGGCCGCTGGGAAGAGCTGGTTTGATGGGATTAGCTCTTAGCTCTTAGCCTAGAGCTAACCCCTCCACGCTTCCTCTGCTCCTGTGTCCTGTCACAGCACTGCCGGCGTCTCCCCATCAGGATAGCTCCAGGCGAAACCACAGTCATCTCAGGGCTAGCTCGACGTAGCAGGCCAAGCTTGCTACACATCCTGAGCTCTCTTGGTTGTAGCGTTAGATCTCTGCAGCAGTTTCTAATGTCTGTTAGAAACTTGTAACTGTATTGCACTTAAGAATTCACTTATTGTTGCACCGTGTTCATAGTGGGGAGATGCTGCGCGAGTGGTTACGTCAGTCGGAGGCCTCCACGAGGGGAAGACAGACAGGACAGGAGAAAACTCAGACCAATCATTGCATTCTGTCAGTGATTGGTCTGAGTTTTCTTAGAACCATATGAGAATGGTATAATGATGACTTTTTATTTCTGGTGGAATTGACTTACATTTTAGTGTGCCATCAGCTTATTAGGAAGGAAATCCAGGAAGAGGAAGGTTATTTAAGTGTGGGAGTGGCCTATTTGAATCCATTTTGTTTGAGACCATGCTGCAAAGTGAGTGTGTTTGCTGATCCTGTGAGTTCATTTATCTCCTTTAACTTTAGCTTACATTGTAGTTATGCTATGTAGCGTGTGAAATAGAGTATGGTGAATGTGCTAGTAAAGGTAGTATCAGCATTGCTTCTGCCTGGAGCTCGCATAAACGGAGCCTGGGCTTGGTTGAAGGTGGCAGTGCTGTTTGGGCTGAGATCACTGTCCAGCCTCCTGGAGGTGCCATTGTTGTGAGGGCTCGTCCTGGGGAGGTAGACTGTACAGCCTAACCCGGCGGGGGAGTGTGATAGCCTAACAAGGCTTCCTTCCCTGGGTCTACCTCCTCTGTGGTAGTATAGGTAAGGTAAAGGAGGTTGTTCGGTTAGTGTGGGGAGCAGTGAGACCTGGCATTAGGGGAGTGTCTCTGGGATGCCAGAGATCACTGTCTAGCCTTCTGGAGGTGTCGTGGGACTAACTAGACGAAACACCGGTGAAAGGAGGTTCCCACCCGATGACCCCAAAGACATGTTAGTTATCACTGCTCACGGGTCTGTATAGTTAAGCCTTGCCATAATAGCTTATCGTAGGGCTTAGGAGGATTATTCACTGAGTGCTGATCCCTTTTTTTTTTTTTTTTTTTTTATTGGAGCACAAACTTCTTGTGTTTATTTGAATTGAATTGAATTTAGTGTGCCATCAGCTTATTAATAGCATTTTAACCTACACAAAGAAAAGTGTAAAATATCCAGAAAGGTAAGTGTTGCTTTAAGATATCAAACCCTACCCTTGTTGCTCTTTTCTGAAGGGCCACTACTCAGTTGAGGACACTCCAAAACTAGGCGTAGGACCAAGGAAAGGGAATTGGGATTGGGCCAAGGATAGCTTTTCTTGTGTTTCTCCACTAATTTATTTCATTTAATTTGTTTCCTGTGTGTATTTGCAGAATAACAAAAGCATGCTGTGCCTGCTGGTCTGAGTACTATATCCTGGACCTACCTTCTCAGCCTGGGCCTCCAAAGACTTCAGGTTATTGGTGACGTTCTTCAGTTCCTCCTCCAGTTCAGCACATTTACTTGTTTAGTTTGGATTTCAAGGAAGAGAAGAGACAAAACACAGATGTCAATAAGATTATTAGATTAATTTAGAGTTGCACACAGGCCAAGATTGGCTGTTGGGAATAGCGGAAGTTTTTCCAGTGGCCTGGCCCACTAAATGGGCCACAGCTAAAAAGCTTTATTCTTTGGGAGTGCTGGGAAGGCATCACACATTGTCAAATGCTCCTGAAGCAGTCAGTCAAGCACAGAAAGGTTGGGGGCGCTTTAAAATGGGTTGTGGTGGAAAGAGGAGGAAGAGGGGAGCAGAGAGGGAGTGAGATAAAAAAAGAAAGGCTCTTGCAGATGATGCTTTGCTAAAATGAGAAATGAGCAAGAGAAGCCAAATACTTCAGACCACCCTTCAGATGAGATATTTGAATTTATATATGAAATGATTATTAAATAGCAAATTATTTAATAAAGGGTTAGCTTGGTTAGGGTAAAGGGTTAGTCCTTGTGTTGTCTCCCTTCTTCATGATATCTTCATCTGATGACATAGTTTCACGGACATAGGTTCACGGACTGCATTTTTTCATCTGCGTAATATTGCGAAAATTAGGCCTATCCTGACCCGAAAAGATGCAGAAAAATTGGTCCACGCTTTTGTTACCTCTAGGCTGGATTACTGTAACTCTCTATTAGCAGGTAGCTCTAGTAAGTCCTTAAAAACTCTCCAGCTAATGCAGAATGCAGCAGCACATGTACTAACAGGAACTAAGAAACGAGATCATATTTCTCCTGTTTTAGCTTCTCTGCACTGGCTCCCTGTAAAATCCAGAATTGAATTTAAAATCCTACTGTTAACTTATAAAGCTCTAAATGGTCAAGCTCCGTCATATCTTAGAGAGCTCATAGTGCCATATTATCCCACCAGAACACTGCGCTCTGAGAACGCAGGGTTACTCGTGGTCCCTAAAGTCTCCAAAAGTAGATCAGGAGCCAGAGCCTTCAGCTATCAGGCTCCTCTCCTGTGGAATCATCTTCCTGTTACGGTCCGGGAGGCAGACACCGTCTCCACATTTAAGACTAGACTTAAGACTTTCCTCTTTGATAAAGCTTATAGTTAGGGCTGGCTCAGGCTTGCCCTGTACCAGCCCCTAGTTAGGCTGACTTAGGCCTAGTCTGCCGGAGGACCCCCTATAATACACCGGGCTCCCTCTCTCTCCCTCTCTCTCTCTCTCTCTCTCTCTCTCTCTCTCTCTCTCTCTCTCTCTCTCTTCCTATTACTGCATCTTGCTAACTCGGCCATTCTGGATGTCACTAACTCGGCTTCTTCTCCGGAGCCTTTGTGCTCCACTGTCTCTCAGAATAACTCATACCGCAGCGGTGCCTGGACAGTGTGACGTGTGTGGTTGTGCTGCTGCCGTGGTCCTGCCAGATGCCTCCTGCTGCTGCTGCCATCATTAGTCATTAGTCATACTTCTACTGTTATTATACACATATGACTATTGTCACACAAGTATACTGTCTGATATTAATACATACTTTCAACATATTGTACCACAGTAGCCAGAACTATAACTATAATATTATTACTTTCATTAATGTTGTTGTAAGCTACTGTCATTACCTGCATCTCTCTCTCTCTCTCTCTCTCTCTCTCTCTCTCTCTCTCTCTCTCTCACTCTCATCCTATTACTGCATCTTGCTAACTCGGCCATTCTGGATGTCACTAACTCGGCTTCTTCTCCGGAGCCTTTGTGCTCCACTGTCTCTCAGAATAACTCATACCGCAGCGGTGCCTGGACAGTGTGACGTGTGTGGTTGTGCTGCTGCCGTGGTCCTGCCAGATGCCTCCTGCTGCTGCTGCCATCATTAGTCATTAGTCATACTTCTACTGTTATTATACACATATGACTATTGTCACACAAGTATACTGTCAGATATTAATACATACTTTCAACATATTGTACCACAGTAGCCAGAACTATAACTATAATATTATTACTTTCATTAATGTTGTTGTAAGCTACTGTCATTACCTGCATCTCTCTCTCTCTCTCTCTCTCTCTCTCTCTCTCTCTCTCTCTCTCTCTTTCTCTCTCTCTCTCTCTCTCTCTCTCTGTCTCATTGTGTCATATGGATTACTGTTAATTTATTATGCTGATCTGTTCTGTACGACATCTATTGCACGTCTGTCCGTCCTGGAAGAGGGATCCCTCCTCAGTTGCTCTTCCTGAGGTTTCTACCGTTTTTTTTCCCCGTTAAAGGGGTTTTTTGAGGGAGTTTTTCCTTATCCGCTGCGAGGGTCATAAGGACAGAGGGATGTCGTATGCTGTAAAGCCCTGTGAGGCAAATTGTGATTTGTGATATTGGGCTTTATAAATAAAATTGATTGACTGAATTGATTGATGATATGTACCTTGGGTTTTATTTGATGCACATTGTACTAAGGTGCTGTTGGCTCCTTAGTTTTTGTGTTTAACATGCACTCAAATTCACCAGAATGCAGGAAAATAAGTATTTGAAGTAAAATATTCCTGATAGCAGACTTCCAGACCCCCTGCCTAAAAAGTGGTCTGACTGGGGCTATATTTCGCCCTATATTTCCCGCCCTGAAAGATTTTTTCCAGTCTAACCCTGGTTGCACATTGTTTTAAAAAACAGTACGTTGCTGTATCTAAAATCAAACTGACCACACAAGCAGAAGTCAGCAAATACATTCTACTTTGTAAAAGGAGTTAGGATGTTGTGACACCTGACAGCTGAGAAGCTTGACTTTGTAACTCATCTTGCAATTTTTCTGGACATTCAGTTCTTATTCTTCCACCGAGTGATCTGGCCTTATTACTAAAAAGCACATAGAAAAGTCAAATCTTATAAGAAGACAATGGAGTGTAAGGTAAACGTTATAGATACTCACGCCTCAGCCAGCTCTGCCCTCTCCTCTGTACGCTCCAGTTCTCCTTCTACAATTACCAGCTTACGAGCCACCTGGGCAAATGGAATTTTATACATATGTATATTATAAGGTTTCATACATCACAGACATTAAAACATAATCAACTCCTTTATAGCCACAGTTAAATGTGCCTTCTTTACTTTTTTATGTGGACTGGTCAGTAAGAGTGCTGATCTCAGTGTCACTTAACATTTATCCATTGCACATATTATTGGCTTATTGTGAAGCAATAACATTGGTTGTATGGCTATATTATTATTAATACTGCCATAATACATATAAAAATCACCATTGCAGCGGTACATATATGTTGAGCATCATTAGGAGCTTCTCACTCACGAGATACTGGGTACGGTTACGTGATGGCTTCTCATTCAGAATGAAATAAATCTGAATGAAATCATTCGGAATTAAAGTTTTTCCAGGTAGTTTACATGAGAAATATTCATTCCGAATAAGGGTTTACATGGGAGATCAGTTTAATCGCCTTTATTCGGGTCTGCGCAAGGTTTGGGGCAGGGAAGGTTTCTGATTAGATAGGGGGCGGGGCGGATGTTACGTGTTTACGTTTACCGGTAGAAAACACTATAGTCCTCGCTCCGGATAACAAGATGCTTGATGATGCCATTCTTAGTGCCTTGTTTAGGTTATATTCTTGAAGCAGCAGTACGACAACAACCTTGTTCTGCTAATGCTTAGTCTGTTGAGGAGAAGAGGTAGAAGGTCGAAGAAGGGAGATAGAAGACCGTGCTTTGGCATATGGATACCGGTGAGTGCAACGAGTCCGACTGCTCTATTTCAGCCCGTTGTTATGCGCGCTATATACGTCATAGCGCCAGAAGGGCAAGGAAACGAGCATGCGCAGAAAGACCGGAATGAACTTAAAGAGGAATGGTTCGCAGGTTAACTCATATCGCAGCGGTGCCTGGATAGTGTGACGCGTGTGGTTGTGCTGCTGCCGTGGTCCTGCTAGATGCCTCTTGCTGCTGCTGTTATCATTAGTCATACTTCTACTGTTATTATACACATATGATTATTGTCACACAAGTATACTGTCAGATATTAATATATACTTTCAACATATTGTCCCACAGTAGCCAGAACTATAACTATAATACTTTACTTTCATTAATGTTGTTGTAAGCTACTGTCATTACCGTCTGTCCTGCATCTCTCTCTGTCTCTGTCTCTCTCTCTGTCTCTCTTTCTGTCTCATTGTGTCATACGGATTACTGTTATTATTATGCTGATCTGTTCTGTACGACATCTATTGCACGTCTGTCTCTCCTGGAAGAGGGATCCCTCCTCAGTTGCTCTTCCTGAGGTTTCTAACATTTTTTTCCCCCGTTAAAGGGGTTTTTTGGGGAGTTTTTCCTTATCCGCTGATGTCGTATGCTGTAAAGCCCTGTGAGGCAAATTGTGATTTGTGATATTGGGCTTTAAAAATAAAATTGAATTGAATTGAATTGAATGAGCGTTTACATGCACACAAAATTCTTTCATTCGGAATGACAAGCGGAATAAACCACCCCCTTTAATCGGATTTAATTTTCAATCGGAATGACCATTTTTGAATCAGAATAACCGTTTACATGACCGCTTTTAATCGGAATGGTCTTTCATTCCGAATGAAAGTGGAGTTAAACTGTCCATGTAAACACACTGACTATGATACTGCAGAAAACTCACCTCCTCATACTTGCGGTCAGCCTCCTCTGCAATGTGTTTAGCCTCCTTCAGCTGAATCTCCTGAAGCTCCATCTTCTCTTCATCTTTTAGAGCCCTGTTCTCAATCACCTTCATACCTCTGCACACACAAACAAAATTTTATTATTTTAATTAATATATTTCATAAAGCAAAAAAAAAAAAAGTAAATTACAGACCAGAAGTTACTGAAAAAAAAGAAGTCAGTTCTTTCATAAACATCAGCTAATTATGAGGAAACCACATTTTTTTTGGATTGGTTGATATAGTAGCAGTTTCTATATCAGCTTTAATTTCCACTATCTAGGGCCCACCAAAGGTTTTTTTTTTTCCAAGCTGAAAATGCCAGTTGTTCCCAGGAAACGCCCAGCTGGGAGCGTTTGAGGTGCTATGTGTTTTCAACTGATAGATAGATTTCAATCAGGAGAGACACGTTTTTATAGTATAAAGAATATTTATTAACATGTGCACATAGGACTGCGAAATGTGAAAAGTCTTTGGCGATTAGACCCTGTAGAGATGGTATGATTTAAGGAGGGTGATGAATCCATATTTGAATAGGGAACCACTGCGGGGTTGAGATGCTGATGGTGGTAGAGGTGGTGAAGATGAGATGAGAGGAAGATGAAGTGCTGGTGATCTGGATGAGTAGAAGAATGAGCCATTGTTGAGCTTGTCCTGGACTCTGGATACCATGGCTGGAGGTGAATGGGGTGGAGGAGGGCACGAAGATTCTGCCTAAAATGATGGCTGACAGCAGCAGAAGAGAGAGCAGATATAAAATTTTGCAGTGGCATCCTGATTGGCTAAGTGAACAACCATAAGAGTGAACAACCATAGTCAGCTAATTAGGGGAAGCAGTGGGAGTGGGATGGAGAGAGTTGTAAATGTTGTACAAAGTTGTACAAAGAAAGTCTTCCTGACTGAACTTATGCTGAGCTTCATTTCAATCAGGAGAGAAATGTTTTTTTCTAGTAAAAAGAATATTTGATAATATTTATTATCATGTGCACATAGGAATGCGAAATGTGAAAAGTCTTTGGCGATTAGACCCCATAGAGGTGGTATGATTTAAGGAGGATGATGAATGCATAGTTGAGTAGGGACCCCCCCAAAAAAGAAGAGTAAGAAGGGAGAGGGACAACCAACCAATTGACATGAGGTGATCTTTACCTTACCAGCAATAAATAAGTAAAGAGAAAATTATTGGGAGATGCGCAGCTAGAGAAGGTTTATTAAGCAAAATGTGAAAGACTATGGAATGGATATCTGCATAGTTAAGTCTATGACAGAAATTAGCCCTGAATGAAATTAGTACAACTCTGATGAGAAATGTGTGGTAGCAATATGTCTGGAATGACAGCTAGGGAGCCACCAACAAGTAGATGATGATAGATGCAAAATAAGTGTTGAAAAGGAAAGCAGCAAGGAAACGTGTTGAGGTCTAACCACCAAATGATATAAAGCCAGAGATAAGTAAGCTGTGACAACAGAAATGATGGTGATATGCCAGAAAGGAAAGCTGAAAAGTCTGTGGTTCTGCAGACCATGGATGTCTATATGTTGAACATAATAAAAGGTCAACGAGGACAAACTAAAATGAAAGGTCATAAGACCAAACAGAAATTAAGGTCAGAAGACCAACTTAGATAAAATGTTAAAAAAAAACAACATTAAGGTCCGGTGACCAATCATAAATTAACATCAGCAATTTTCAGCATGACAGCAACAGAAATTAAGGGTCTGATGACCAAACTGAAAATACTGTGACTGGTGCTAGGTCCTAGTGACCAGGGGTGTCTATATGTTGAACATAATAAAAGGTCAATGAGGACAAACTGAAATAAAAGGTCATAAGACCAAACAGAAATTAAGGTCAGAAGACCAACTTAAGTAAAAATGCAAAAGGAAGACAAAAGTCCGGCGGCCAAACGTAAGTTAAAGGCAGCAATTTTCAGCATGACAGCAACACAAAGGGTCTGATGACCAAACTGAAATTACCATGACTGGTGCGAGGTCCTAGTGACCTGGGCATATATGTAGAATATAATAAAAGGTCAGTGAGGACCAAACATAAATAAAAGGTCATAAGACCGAACAAAAACTAAGGTCATGGTCCCACAGACCATGATAGAGCATTTGCATGAAGTCCCAAAGACCATGGGTGTTTGTGCATACAGCATGAGGTCCCACACACCGTGATTGTGCATTTGCGTGAGGTCCCGAAGGCCATATAAATGAGTGAGCAGCATGATAAATGCAAGCAAATTAAAAAGAATTGAACTAATAGAATTATGTTAATTTATGTCCAACTTGAATAAATGAGTACAGCAGGATAGGTCCCAAGACTAGAAGAAAATAAATCAGCAAGAAAGAAATTGTGATAAGATAACCACAAGGACATAATCATGGGTGATGTATGATAGTGGACTATAAAGTGATAAAGGTGAGCAATTAGCAGACAAGCCAGTGTTAGTGAATGCAGCATATAGTTGGAGGACCATGGATGACTGTGCATACGACATGAGGTCCCACAGACCATGATGCAGCATTTGCATGAGGTCCCAAAGACCATGGGTGTTAGAGCATATGGCATGAGGTCCCATGGACCATGATAGAGCATTTGCATGAGGTCCTGAAGACGGTAGAAATGACTACGTTAAATGTTGCTGTTGACCCTGGCTTCATATGAGTAGAGGAGAGTCCGATGGCTGCTAGGCTTGTTTATACAATTTAGAATGCCATAGGCTTGAGCTAGAACATTAGCATGTAGTATTTGTGGGGAAAATGTGTCCAGTAGAAGACAGGTGCTTTGTCTGTGAATGCTGCGAGTTATAGTGAAGCCGATTATGTAGTTGTGTTTGAAATTGTTGCTATTATGCCATGTTTAATGTGTTTCATACGGTGGCCGACAAGGACAAACGCGAAATACTGCAAATACAGAAACGCACTCCAAATAGAGAAACGCACTGCATATAAGAAAACAAATGCAAAGGGAAAATGCTGCAAATACAGAAACATGCTGCAAATACAGAAACGCACTGCAAATAGAGAAACGCGCTGCATATGAGAAAACAAATGCAACGGGAAAATGCACTGCAAATACAGAAACGTGCTGCATATAAGAAAACAAATGCAAAGGGAAAATGCTGCAAATACAGAAACGTGCTGCATATACAGAAACGTGCTGCATATGAGAAAACGCTGCATATACAGAAACGTGCTGCATATACTGAAACGCGCTGCAAATAAGAAAACAAATGCAAAAAGAAAACGCTGCATATACACTCATACAACGGAAATGCTCCAGGCCTCCAGGGGCAGTGCTGAGCTTCCACCCGAGAGACAGACAAGTGAGCGAGAAGAAGAAAGTTATGTTTGGAGGATAGTTGGAGCCGGGACAGGCAACACAGAAAGGTACGTATTCTTTTTTATTTTTCTTTCTTTCTTGTTTTTCACATGTGGCCCTCATCTAGGCCTTTTTGGGGGTATTTTGCCTGCCTTTACTTTAAAGGTCATATCACAGTTATTCTAAAGGCTACATACACATGCTATATCTTTTTTTTTCCAGGACAATCTGGGCTAACTTTTTTTTTTTTTCTAACAGATTTGCCATGTCCTTCTATGTGCCTGTATTTTATATTAATTTTTATATCAATGAAAAAAACAAATCTGTGTTACTAAATTCTTAGATTCTTACATGTATCTCACCATAGCAAGTTGGAAGTTGACATATTCTGCCATATATGAAGAGGGGAGACTCTCTGGAATCTGGCAATACAAGAACCATGATGCTGGGACATTCTGTCACTTCACAGCTGTCCAAAACATGTGGTTTGTGCCAGGCGGACATGATTGCCAGTATTTTTTCATTATTGCAAGAAATTCCATTGACTCATTCACAAGTCAAAAATGTGTTTTATCTGAGAGAAACATGCAATATTTACATCTAAAGGCCCGAACATACTTGGGCGGAACGTACGCGGAGCAAAGCTTAGATTTTACGACCACGCGGACTCCGCTCCGCACACCAGTGACTGCTTGGCATGTATTTTTCACATCGACGCGCAGGAATTGTGGGTAATGTAGTGTGTTTCACAGACATTTTTACAGGAAACTACAACGCGGAAGTGCGCTCGACTATGGAAACCCGAATGACTGCGGACCTTTCTCGCAGAATCCGCTCCGCTTATAGTACGCACAAGTATGTTCGGGCCTTAAGACAATAGAAAAATAGTCAACCAAGTGCAATGTTGTCCTCCAAGATAATATTTGCCACTTTGTTCGCAGTAAAAAAAAATTGGGTATTGGGGGGGGGGTTGTGTCCCCCTCAATGTATATGGTGACTACTGCCCTGTCAGCATGCATAATTAGGCTACAGTTGTCTGGGTAAGGTGAAGTGCGTTGGTCTTGTCATGCAAAGTGTGATAGAGTGTCAACTGGACAATATGGAGATATTTGCATCTTGAAAGCCGGACTACAAATGTGGATAGACAGGGAGAAACACACGCAAGCCTAAGACGTGGTAAAATACGATATTCCTCACTATATGAAGTGACTGATAACAAGATCTGTATAATGGATTGTAAAGAAATTCGTCAGATTTTTATTTTGTAAACAATTGATCTGGATTTATAGCGTGATGGGATGACAGCACAATGATGTGTGGTATCACTGGAAAGCTCTGGTCCTGCGCTTTCATGTGATATGCGTGGCTTCTCGCTATGACACACGGTCGCGGAGAAAAACTATAGAGAAGAACAGGTGTGAATTTGATCGCAATATGCGTCGTTCGGGCCCATTTTTCAAAATCATCATAGAGCCTTACTATTAGGCTCAAATGAAAGCTCTGCTCATACTGAGTTCAGATATGGATAGTAAAATTACAACATACACATAGGTCATCAGATGTCTGGGGTGGAACCATTGAAAGCAGGGAGACAGAGAAGATTCTTTAGCTTGGAGTTGTTTTTATTAACATTTTTTTAATTATTTATTTATTATGATTTATAGAATAGAATAGAATAGAATAGAAAACTTGTCTGGAACCAAAAGGCAACAGAAGTTTGTCTTCGAGAGGGCTCAACACTATCTATCTATTG